GTAGGAGGGGAAGAGGTGGGAGGGAGGGAGAGAATTTGGAACCCAAAATTTACAAAGGAAAAATGTTAAAGATAAATAAATGATAATTTTAAAAAAACTGTGTGGAGCCAAATGACTCAGTGCTTCTCTTGACAGTCATCCCTCTGAGGCTGAGTTCATGAGTTCTCTCTAAGGGGCAGATGGGACAGGGGCCAAGCTTTCAGGGAACCAATAAGAGCAGATGTCCTCTAGGTGGTGCTGTTCTCCCATATTCAGTGGCCTACCAAATGCCAACAGGGTTCCAGCCCCAGGGGTGGGTAGTTAGTGTCTGCTGGCCAAGGTCTTAGGGTTGTCTCCATTGGAGCCAGATTGTGTTGAAGCAATTCCATTTTGTTCCTACATCCCTCCATCTCTCCACCAGCCCCAGTGGAAAGGGGTTCTCTTCGGTTCCATTTCAAAATGGTTTAAAGAGAGTGGGGTCCCATTCTGGACTTGACTTGCCTTAGGGTAGAGGGTACAACTGTTCCCTTCCTATTAACAGCTGGTAACTTCTTACAGCACTCAGAATATCATCGAAAGGGGGGTACCATGAGAATGGGTCATGAGACTGCTTCTCAGCATTTCACACCCTTCTAGATGGATTTGAAGTTTCAGCCAAAATACAGGGGAATTCAGCTGGTACCAGTACAAATACCTATGGCCAGGTTTTTTTCCCCAATAAGAAATCCCAAGGATCTTGGGTAACAGAGGTTACACTTCGAGATAAGACCTTAGAAATAAACTCATTCTAGGCTCTTATTTTTCAACTTGCCCAAGTTCAAAGTAGTAGTATCAGAGGCAATATCTGAACACAGGACATACTCGATTCTCTTCAACTGATCTAGTATTTCTCTTCTTTGTACAAAGTTGTTGGCATAATATTTTTCCAATTAGACGGTGAGCTCCTTAATAAAAGAACATTGTAAAAAATTTTTTGGGATAGGCAATCTGAGTTAAGTGACTTGCCCAGGGTCACACAGCTAGTAAGTGTCAAGGGTCAGAGGCCAGAATTTGAACTCAGGTTCTCCTGACTCCAGGGCCAGTGCTCTATCCACTGCACCACCTAGCTGCCCCTATGAAGGAACATTGCTATAGTGTCTACTATGTGAAAGACACTTTACAAATATCTCATTTGATTCTCACAACAACCTTGGGATCTAACTGCTATTAGTATCCCCATTTTACAGTTAAGGACAATGGAGGCAAACAGAGGGTAAGTGATTTGCCCAAGGTCACACAGCTTGTCACATTTAATATCAAGTTTTCTTAAGTCTTGGCACAGGAGAGTGGGATGAGTATTTATTAACTCAACAACCATGTATTAGGAACTTATCATGCCCAAAGCCTTTCATCATTTATAGGGCCTGTGAAAACAATGGGAAAAATCCTATGTGAAGAAGCCCTGATTCAGGTACTCATCTTCATCATCAACTTTTACCTTCCAAGACCTCTTCATTCAACAGCTACAAAAATACAACTCCCCCTTTGCCAATAGCTGATATGAAAGATAACTTCATAGGTTTTATTTTGCAAATGAGGAACAGTGGCTGGCATTTGAATGTAGGCTGACTGCAAATCCCTTCTGTCTTACTTAATTCAATGAACGTAGGTATTCGTTCACAGGACATCCTAACTGTTTTTGTATCCTTATCGTCCTTTACCTCTTGGGGCCCTAGGGGCTGGGAGCAGTATCAGTTTCACTGATCTTGTGCAGTTCATGAACTTCCAGAAAGGCATCATTGAATTTTAGAACTGGGAAGGCCCTTGGAGATCATCTAGTCCAGCCTCTTAATTTTACAGATGAGGAAGCTGAAACCCAGAGAAAGGAAGTGACCTGCCTAAGGACATACAGATGAGTGGTGAGGGAGCTGAGATTGGCACTGAGGGGGAAGTGTGATAGGATGTGAGAAGCAGTGCAAAGGACGAGAGATTTAGAGTCAGAAAACCTTGCTCTCTTAACTGCCCAGCTGTGTGACTATGGACAAGACTGTTGACCATCCTGGGCCTTAATTTATTCCTTTGTAAAATGGAGAGTGTTGACTGTTTTGAGGCCTAAGGACCCCTCCAGTTTTAAACTGTGTTATCCTAAGTGCTATAGAAGCATGAGGTTTTTTATCATTGGTGAATCCCTCTACCTCATGTAACCTGTGTGATCTGGAGCAAATCCTTCTTTTCTCCAGGTCCCAATGTCCTTATCTGTTTTTAAGCTGAGAGGTCTATCCTTGGCTCATCACTTGTGTAACTTCCCTACTGTGGGCCTCATTTTTCTCCTCTGTAAAACAAGGGGTTGGACTAAATCTCCAAGGTCTCTTCTAGCTCTAAATCTTATGAGAGACACAGAATAGTAGAATAGAAAGAAAGAATTGGAGCTGGAGGGGCAGCTAGGTGGTGCAGTGGATAGAGTGTTGGCCCTGAAGTTAGGAGGACCTGAGTCCAAATCCAGCCTCTGACCAAAAACTTGACACTTACTAGCTGTGAGACCCTGGGCGAGTCACTTAACCCCAATTGCCTAAAACCAAAAAACAAATAAACAAACAAAAGAATTGGAGCTGGAGTCAGGCAACCTTGGATCTGAATCTGCCTCTGACACTTTACCAGTCCCTCTGTGTCCCAGGGTAAATCATTTCAGTTACCAAAGTCCCAGTTTTGTCATCTTGAAATATGAGGAGGGATAATACTGGTAGGGATTATAAATACTTTACAGGACTGTTGAGAGGAAGCCCTTTGTAAACCTTAAGACACCATGGAAATAGGAATTATTTCATGACTCCAAACTAACAGAGTGGTCGCTAGGTGTCAGTAATGGATAGAGTGTGTACTTGGAGTAAGGAAAACCAAAGTTCAAATCTTGGCCTCAGCCACTTTCTGTGCAATTCTGGGCAAGTCCCTTAACCTCGCTCAGCTTCAAGTCAAGTCAACAAGCATTTTTAAAGTGCCTACTCTGTGTCTGACACTATGCTAAGCACCGGGGTAGAAAGAAAGGCAATGCCAGTCCCTGCAAGGAGGCAGCTAGGTGGCCCAGTGGATAGAGAGATGGGTCTGAAGAGTAAGGAAGACCTGAGTTCAAATCTGTCCTCACATACTGTGTGACCTTGCACAAATTATTTAATCTGAGTTTCCTCAACTGTAAAAGGGGGATTATAGTAGTACCTGGCACATGGCAGGTGTTACAGAAATGCTAGCCATTATTATTTTTTATTTTTAATGTCCATTTCTTTGCTTTATTTATTTTTAACATTTATTTTTATAAATTTTGAATTCCAAATTCTCTCCCTCCCTCCAGCCCTTCCCCTACCCACTGAGAAGGCAAGCAATATATCAATTATACATGTGAAGTCATTCAAAACCAATTTCCATGTTAGCCATGTTGCAAAAAAAAAAGCAAGGAAAGTAAGGAAAATGAAAAATAAATAAAATAAAATGCTTCAATCTGCACTTAAGAGTTCATCGGTTCTCTTTCTGGAGGTGGATAAATGCTAGCTATTATTAAGAAGCTCACAGTCTAATGGGGCAGACAACATGCCAACAACTTTGTACAAAGAAAATATACACTAGATAGACTGGAGATAGTCTCAGAGGGAAGGCACTAGAAATAAGGAAGCCCCGACAAGCTTCTTGCAGAAGGTGGAACTTTTGAAACTTGAAGGAAGCCAGGAGATGGAGATGAGGAGGGATAGAGCCCCATACATAGGGGACATCCAGTGAAAACGCCGAGAGTAGGGAGACAAAGAGCAAAAAGTCCAGTGTCAATGGACAGCAGAGTCGGAGGATGGAGAAGAGGGAGGTAAGGTGCAGCTAGACTTTAAAGGTAAGAAAAGGCCAGGTTATAAAGGGATTTAAAAACCGAACCCAGGATTTCATAGTTGTTCTGGGTTTACCGAATCATTTATTGAATCAGAGTATGCCTCAGTTTCCTCATCTACAAAACGGAAATAAATACTAGCACCTCCCTCACAGGGTTGTGAGGACCAAATCATCTACCATGTACAAAGCACTTTGGAAACCTCAAGCGCTATGTAAACGCTAGTTATTATCATTTGCAATTATTATCCTAATAAACTTGGGCACTCTCACAGCGAGTGCCAGTCTCTCCAAGGCAGGGTACGAGCTTTGCCCGCCTGCAGCTGAGCCCAGCTTTCTCTTGGGTTCACCCAGACCAGTCTGGAGCTCTCCCGGAAGGAGAAAGCAAGAAGGGGGATCAAGCTTCTGCCCAAGCCATACCTTACTGTTGCTTGGGAGAAAGTAATATCGCTTGTCGGTCGAGGGAGGGCCATAGTCCCGGGGCCAGTCCCTCTCCTAGGTTATCAACCGTTCGCCCGCAACCCACAGCGGCTCACTCCAGGAGCCTCAGCCGGTATTTGTTTACAGTCTGTCGCCGTGGAAACGGTGCCTGGAGAAGACCCCCCGAGGACAGGGGTGGCCGCGATACTGCCTGAGTGGCGCCGCACGCAGCTAGGTCAGGCTCCCTGCCCCCGACTAGGAGCAGCTCTGGCCCCTTGTATCGGAGGTCTTGGAAGTAGAGACACATGTAATCGCCTGGAGAAAGTCACGTCCGCTTGGAGGAGACTTCCCTAGGACACTCACACAGGTGACAAATAGTAATTAGAGACAAACAAGTTAACACGCTCCAAGGCAACAGCATGACTGTGGCTTCGGGGGTGTGGCGAAGGCTGAGAGGCCAAGGCCGCTTTCCTCTAGGGAATTGTAGTTTTTGCCCTCCGAAAATCTCCGCTTGACAGGGTTCCAACTGAGGAGATACGGACTACCACTCCCAGCAAGCCGTGCGCGTCCGACCTACCGAGCGAACTTGGGCCGCCCCTGAGGCCGCCGGCACTGTGGGATATGTAGTCATTCCGACGGGAAGACACGCGTGTGGACGCGGAAGTGGAACTCAGTTTCCCTGCGGCCTCCCTGGGCTCGCAGCTTATTGGCTGGGCGCGGCGGATCTGGTGCTTGTCTCCCCCCGCCTCTCTGTGACACAATAGCGGCTCCCTCCAAGATGGCGGCAGCGGCGGCGGATCCGGGAGCGGGGAGCCCCCCAGCTGGCGAGTCTTGCGGCGGGGGCGGCAGCGGCGCTGGCGGGCTCCCCTCTCCCGGGGAGCAGGAGCTGACGCGGCGCCTGCAGCGCCTCTACCCGGCTGTCAACCAGCACGAGACGCCGCTGCCCCGCTCCTGGAGCCCCAAGGACAAGTACAACTACATCGGCCTCTCCCAGAGCAATCTCCGCGTCCACTACAAAGGTGCCGGGGTCGGGGCCGTGGGGGACGAGGGGGCCGCAGGGGGCAGCGGGGCCGGGCCCTCCTTGGACAGGGCTCGTGGGATCTAGAGAGAGCTTAGAGACCGCCTAGCGCACCGCCCCCTCCACCATCCCCCATTTCACAGGTGAGGAAACTGAGGCTCAGAGAGGGAAAGAGACTGGCCCAAGGTCACACGGCTCCCAGGTGCTAGAGCTAGGATTCGAACCCGGGCCTCGTGATTGCCCAATCCGGGAGTTTTGCCACCGCACCTCGCAGCGGAATCTCCTCCCTGCTGTCCGAGCCTCCGGCTGATATTTGGGGAGGGGAGTTGGGGGTGGGGATGGGGGGTGGGGGGAGGGAGTACAGTCCCTCTCCGCGCCCACCCCCCCCAGTTCCTGTCCTTCATCTCCATCCTCATTCCTTCCTTTTCAGGCCTTTGCATGATCCGAGAAGGCGTGTGTGTGTGTGTGTGTGTGTGTGTGTGTGTGTGTGTGTGTGTGTGTGTGTGTGTGTGTGTGTGTGTGTGTGTGTGTGTGTGTGTAAAAAAGTGTGTCCTGCCTTATAGCTTTGTCCCCTTATTTCATCACAAATAGACCTAGGCCATAGGGGTTTGGGGTTAGGGTTAGAGATCATCTACTCTTAACCCTTTCCTTTTTTGGGGGGAGGGGGAAGGGAAACTGAGGCCCAAGGAGTCCGACTGATTTGAGCTAAAACCTAAGCCTTTTACCTCCACGCTTAATGCTCTTTCCATCCTTCTTTTGTCTGTGTTCTCAGAATTCAGCCTCATTCAGTTTGGGGTCCCCCCACCCCCCACCTGTTTCCCTGGGGAAGGTTGTCCAGAGGGCTTACTGAAATCTCCAGGAGGCACAGCAGGTGTCCTCTATCTTCTGCCCGCACCTTACATAATGCACTGGGCCCTCCAGGTGCCCTGCAACACAAGGCTCTTAGCTTTCTGTAGTTCAGACTCTACCAAACCATTTGCCGTTTTCTAGTTTTCCTGATGTTAACCTATTGGTGGTGACCTCCCCCACTATAAGCCAGAGGCCTGTTGGCACAGCTTCCTGCTAGACTTGCTCAGGAAGCCCCTCATTTCTGTATTTAAGTGGAAATGTTTAAGTAAATAGAAGAGGACATCGATTCTCTCCCACCCCCACTTCCCAGGTGCCCCAAAGGTGGCTGCCATAATTTCCTGAGAGGCCTGACAAACACCATCTCCTTATCTTTAGAAGTCACATACTAGGGAACATTGTTACCTAGTTTTCAGCTGTATTGTTGCCAGAGTTTCTCGGTCAGTGTTGTTTCTGTCTCTCCAAGTCCTGGAAGAGGTGAGACAAAGTAAAACCTGCAGCCATAGCATATTCTGTAGGTCATTTACATAGTTACATGCAGGGCCATACTTTCAACTGATTGAATTGTCATCGAATTCCTCCTTTCGCTGTGTGAGAATTACTTGTGGTGTGTCCTTGTTTGGGCTCCACTGCAATAAATCACCGAATAGTAAGGAGGGAGGCTGCTGTTAGCAGTTCCTTTTCCTAAAGTTTCCCTACCCCTTTCTTTCAGGTCATGGCAAAAATCACAAAGATGCTGCATCAGTTCGTGCAACTCACCCCATACCTGCTGCCTGTGGCATTTATTATTTTGAAGTGAAGATTGTCAGTAAAGGTAGAGATGGGTAAGTCACCTCTCACTGTGTCTCAAAGATGAGCTTTCCTTGTCCATCAGGGTTGGAGGTCACCCAGTTGATGTTTGTGGGCCCTAGCTAAGGAGCCAACAGGTGGTAAGGTAATAATGTACGACTGGAAGAGGAGGCCCTTGTGAACTGACCTTGGCCTACTTGATTGTGGGTTTTCCGTTTAGCACTATTGTCTCATCCAGCAAACCCAGCTGAGAGAGAGGTCTTTGCTAGGCATGATGTAAGAGGGATGGAACCATAAGGGGATTGTCTGCTGCTCATTCTTTTGGATGAGAAGTTTACAAAACTGTCTCACATTCATGGATTGGGTTTTCCCGACTGTCACGTTGGAAATAAGCGAAGTCACTCCTCCGTCCTCTTTCCCCCTGCCATTAGGGCTCTTTCCACATTGAAGGCTGTTTCTTATAGCTTATAATCTGTTGCAGATTTCAAGGGGAGGGAGAAAATATATTTTGTAGCATTCACAAAGGCAGTAAGAGAAGACAAGAGACTGAGGAAGGACAAAGTAACTGTCTTTAAGTGCTTGGAGAGATGTCATATGTGGAGAGGGAGGGAGATTAGATTCATTTTCTTTGGTGCCAGAGGGTGGATCTTGAAGCAGTGGGTGGCAATGGTGGAGGGACACATTTTTGGTTCAGTTTAACTGAAAACTCCCCAACAGTTAGACCTGTTTCAAAATGGAATGAGCTGATGAGGAGGTGGTGAGCTCCCCAGTTGTTAGAGATGTCATGGAGGGGCTTTCTGTTCTCTCTGGATGACTTCTGAGGTGCCTTCCAACCGTGACACTGCATCTTTGACTTGTCTCTAGGGAAACAATGAGGATGAGTGTTGGCCTTGCACCTCAAGGTATTTTTAAGTGGAGTGACTTGAATCCCTGTCTGACTAGCTTTAGAGGGGCCTAATTCAAGTAAGTTGGAGTGAGGCCCACGAATTCAGGGTAATCCAAAACTAAATACACAGGAACTATCAAAGTCATTATAGGGGAGAAAGTTATTTTCTTTATTTCTTCCCTGCTCCCAACCCCATCTGCACCAACTGTCTTTCTCTAATGGCTGGAGACAGAGCAGGTGTTTAGTTGTGAAAGAACATGAAAGCAAATGTATTGGCAATCCTTCCCCAGTCAGCCTTAAGTCTGTGGTGGGAAATAGGCCATCCCTTGCTAATGATCTGAGCTCTGGGGTAACTTCTGCCATGCTTCAGCTCTCTTAGGGACATTCTTCCTGGGCCAGCATGCAGAGAGAGCTCTGCTAAGTGCTTTACTGGAGGGTGACCTGATCAGCAGGGCCATAGGCTGGCCTGCCTTTGTCCTCAGTAGGCTTTGTGAGCCCAGCTGGAAAGTCAGGCTGTGTCTCAGATTACGTAGGAGCTGGCATCTTTTTGTGGAAAGAGGTCTGGGTCAGGAGACGGGTTCAAATCCCAGGCCCAGCACTTAGTTACTGTGTGACCTTGTGCAAGTGACCTCATCTTTTTGAGCCTCAGTTTCCTCATCTGTAAAGTGGTGATGATGATACTTGTAATGGCCACCACACAGGGTGGCTGTGAAGAAAGCCCTTTGTTAACTTTAAAAGACCATAGAAATGGGAGCTATTATTACACAAAATAAAGGTTTAGCAGAGCTGTGGCGATTTGAACATGAATTTGCTGTGTGGGATCATCTTATTTCAGAGAGTCTAAAGAGAGTCAGGCATCCTCTTTCAGCTTCAGATCTCAGCTCTGTGTGTGTTTGTGTGTGTGTGTGTGTGTTTATGTATGTATGTATGTATATATGTGTGTATGTATGTGTAGTGCTGGTGGTGGTGACAGTGGTGGTGAATTTGGCTCTTGGACAACCTGAGGAGTGTGACTTTGACACAAAGGACCCAGATGAGCCAAGCCTAGATTGAGACTCAGCTGACAGCTCCCCAGTGGCCAGGGCCTCATAAACAACCCAGGTAGATGTGCTCTGAAGGAGAGCTGGTATGAGGCCTGGCACCTGGCAGGCCCTTCCCCCCCTTCCCCTGGCACATGGAACAGGTGGGCCAGTCTGGCCACAATTCAGGACTGAGGCTGTCACTAAGCAGGAATACTCTGGGCAGTCATATTCACCGTTCTGTTTTGACTTGGGACACACCTGTGAATCCTCATTTTGTATGGTGCTTGTCCATTCATTATCTCATTTGATCTTAGGACCACCTCAGTGAAATAGATGGGGCTAGTGGCATTATTCACATTCTACAAATGAGGAAACTAAGTCTTAGGGAGATTAAGTGATTGACCTCAGGTCACCCAGTACCTCACTATTGGGGTTCCATGACTCCTAGGCTAGATCACACAGTCTTGTGTGGGTATTCATCATAAGCATCCCTTCTAGCCTGCTAGTCCTCTCCTAGTCCAGTCATTGGCTCATCCCTTCCCCCAAACCATATGTAGAGATGCCTAGAACTGTCAAAACCACTTTAACTCAGCAGGTATCACAGTCATCCCTCCTACAGTTTTCCTTGTCAGGAATTGGGTGAGGAGGGGCTTGCCTGGGTTGTTGTTGCTTTGTTTTTTTGATGTACCAAAGTATTTTCATGCTCTGGTTTGCATATTTTTTTTTTAATTTTTAGGCATTTGGGGTTAAATGACTTGCCCAGGGTCACACAGTGTTTTGGTCTGAGGTCGGATTTGAGCTCGGGTCCTCCTGACTTCAGGGCTGGTGCTCTATCCACTGCACAGCCTAGCTGCCCTGGTAAACTCTTGAGCTCTAGAGGATTTAGATGAAAAATGCATATGTTTAGGGGATGTAGTTTTTCTGTCAGTGCTGTATTAGAGCTGGGCATTGGTCTTAACTTGTAACTCTTTTTTTTGGTGGTAACTTCTAATTTGCAAATTTGAGAATTGTCACTTTGAACAGCATGCTTATAAATATAATGTTCAAAAAAGTATTTCTGAATTTCAGTGTTGGGGTCACAGAGGAGTGTGGTAAATGCCATAGTGCTCAGATTTGTTTCCCGGTGCCTCTTGGTGGCAATGGGAATCTGGATTAAGAACTGGATCTTTGGTCATGTGACTAAGTAATCATCAGTGATCTGTTAGGAAGTACAGCCATACATTCTGTGGTAAATGCAAAGGCCTTAATTGGAAACCTGAGCTTAGTGTACAATTTAGGGCATTCTGATGGTGGTGGCCTTTGCTACCTTTGGCCTCATTACCATGAGATGATATTTAGTGGAGTCCAAGCGGAACAGACTGTGTTTTTGGGAAAAAGGCCATCTGACAAGAAAACATCAGACTTCTTTTGAGTGGTGTCAGGAGAAAGATGGCAGAGTACTTTTAACTGAGTTGAGGTTCATCTTGTTAGAAAGCCCCAGAGGCACCAAAATGGAGTTTCCTCTGAGATGAGCTGCATCCTGGGGATGGCAGCATGCAGCCCTGCTGGAGTCCATAGTCCTCGGTGATGACACACTGAGGGTGGGGCTGGCAAACAGATACTATAATATTACTCTCAAAATAGATCGTAACCTCATCCAGGCTGTGGCCTTCTGATGCATCATGTGTGGCCATACCTAAGCATGAGCCCTCTCTGAGGACCTCCTCCTTCCTTCCCCCACCCTTGGGCTCATGAACTCATCTCTCCTCTCATTGTTGTTTCAGTGTCTCAGTTCCTGGTATAGGACCTCTGAATGGGGTTTGGCCTTCTCTGCTGATGCTGACTCTGTGCACTCTGCCTGGAGAACAGTGACTTAATTTTACCCAGGCAGCAGAGCATTGTCAGAGGGGCTGTGTAAGCAGGAAGGCAGTTAACTTTGGATTGTGTGAAGTTTTTGAGGAATGAGAGGGAGTCTGATCTGCGACTTGCTTTAGCCAGGCCTCTCTAGTTCTGCCCTGAGGCCCAATGTAGTAAGGCTCTAGTTCCTTAGTTAACATAAAGTATCCCGCCCTAGCCTTTGAGTATCTGGTAGTTGAGGTATAGCTAGAGAATAGTAAGTAAGGGAGGCCCCCTCCAGGTAAAGATATTGTAAATTGCCTTAGTTCTCAGGCATCCTTTTGTCTGAACATCCTAGGGCTAGGTCACGATGTTGTCTAGCTTCACATGACCAAGAATCTCACACGTGCCAGAAGAAAGTGAATTCAAAATTTCTAACTGTACCTAGAGATCAGCTTGGTGAATTCAGACTTCATAAAACACAAACCTAGTTAGACGTTATATAATGGTGCTTAAAGACCTTTCTATGTAGATCTCTAGCATCTTCAACTTAGTGTAGTTGCCATGATGATTTCAGTTTCTTCCTGATTCTTACTGTACTGGCTTTGCTTTTCAGTACAGTTTATGGGGTTGTTGTTAACCTGCAAACCAGTGGAAGGGTTGAGTCTTAACCACCCCTGAATAAGTCACCCCTCCCCTAGGCCAGCCATAGGATCTGTAGCACTCTCACTGACTGCCCTTTGGCCTGACCTCTGGACTCTCAGGAGGGAGTTTTCAGGGCATTTAGGGAGGTTGTTTTGGGGCACATTGGCTGTAGTGGAATTTGGGGCATCCTGAAACTACCCTTTCTGCTTCATAGATGAATTGATGGTCTGTTTTGGGAGCTTAGAGGAAGGGAGGCTGGTAAGGTTCAGAATGATGTTCAGCCTCTCTTCTGGTATTACTTTGGTCCAGTGTGGGGACCCCAGATCCTGCTTATCATGCCCCTTCTCCCTTAGGTCATAGGTACTGCTGAGTGGTGGTGGTGGTGCAAACATTGAGCTCAGCCTTGCTGTGGCCTTTCTAATCCTCACAACACAAACCAGGTGCTTTCCTCCAGGGTGCAGAATTCCAGGGAGCTGTGGCTGTATTTTCTTTACTTGGAGGCTTCCCTGGGCCTCAGTCTTGCCACAGGAGGGTTTGCCAGAGCTTATCACATGAGTCTGAGGTTGCTGCCTCTGTTTTTACTCTCCAGTGGCCTTTCCAGTTCTTTGAAATGACCCTCTTCCCAAAGCAGTGCTGTGTGTTACAGATTAATGAGAGAGGTCTTGAC